ACAGATGAAATAATCTTTCTTATGAATATAAAAAAATATGTAAGTATGACAAACAACAAAAACTAAACTCTTAATTCGCAAAATATCAATTCTTTGACTTGGTAAATTAAAAAATACTTTCATCAGAATTATCAAAAAATGAAAAAATACGTGAGTTTTTCTTTAGAATTCTGTCCTCTTCATATATTTCTTCTCCACTGCTACTTTCATCCAAATTGTTAAAATACTTTTTTTCACCTTTCTATCCTTTGTGTACATTTTTACATTATCAATTTCTGAAATATCATCAGGATTATTTTGTTCTTTATCTTGTTCATTTTTTGCTACTTCTTCTACATTTCTAGAAATAAACTTTTCGAAATCAAGTTGAAAATTTGCATTTCTTGGTTTCTTCATTTCAGTGCCAATAAAGGTAGTGTTGGTCCAATGTACTTTTACATCAGAGAGTATGGTGATTTTGTTATTATGTTTGGATCTACTTGAAGAAGCCATCATATTTTGTGGAGCTTCAGCGGTTAATCTAGTCTGGAATTGATTAGTAGTAGTAGGAGCTCGAGGATTTGTCAATTCTCGAAGGACATCGTTCGACGTGTTTTCATTTACGAAATCTTGTAGATGTTCAGCATCGATATTTTTATAAACACAAGTTACGTTCATAAATCCAAGATGGTATCCGTGTGAACATATTTCACCATTTTCATACAAGAAACAACTTAGTTTTCGGAATGTTGTTCGAAGCTTGTTATATGACCAAAGCACTTGATGCACAGACATTGTTCCACGAAATCCTTGAACCGATGAGGGAAATTTTCTCTATTCAATGTCTTCTTTTGAGACAGTAAGAAGTTTGATATTCTTCACCTTGTCTTGAATAAGCTCAAAAAAGTCTTCCATCGTGCCAATATCATTACCAAACCGTACAATTTGATCTGCGGTTCTCTTTAGGACAGCACCGAGACCATCAGGCGCTCCTTTGCAGTGTCCAGCCTCTAAATAGTTCCAGGTCACAAATTTTAATTGTGGAAAATCCTGTTGCAGTTGACTAATAACGAAGAAAATGTAGCGATTCCTATATTGGCTAGAAGGGCTGTCAGATACAAAATGTACTGTGTCAATCTGAGGTGATATTTCTGTTACGTAGGCTAGTAGCGGTATGAGATGTACCCATATGGCACTGGCGTCATGTCTGTTGCATTTGCTGATACTGCAAATGCTGTATGTCTTCGTGATTCCAGCTTCTGGATCAATTAAATAAACTACCGCAGTGTGCAATGTTATTTGCAATCGACTGCCGCCGAAATGATAGCTTTGTATCTCCTCATTAAACTTAACGGAATAATTTTCTGAAAAATCTATGTGTAGCATAACCTCCTTAGTAGTCATTGTCGCTTTTAAAGATTTGATATTCTTGTACTGGACAACGATGTTAGTACAATGCTTAAAGTATGAATTCAGAGAATCTTCTAATTTTTTCACAACGTTTATTGGATAATCCTGTAATCGAGTTTTTACGGTAACAATTTTTACTTTCTCTTGACCGTTTACATGATAGTTTACTTTTTTTGCGCACCACTGATAATAGTTTATTTTCTCTCCATTACTCAATTCTCTATAGTTAATTACTTTTACCTATCTCTTTCTTGTAATCATAGCGCAGTCTTCTAATTAATTTATCTTTTTTCTCACACTTTTTGCAGTTTACGCTAGGCACCTCTACTAATTGGTTTGACGGCCCTTCTAATGGATCTTCCCCAGCATCTATATTTTCTTCTCTATCGCTTGTTGGAGGTGAATTGTCAATCAGCATCTGTTGTATTACTCTTTCTTTTTTCTTCTTTTCTAAATAACGCTTACTGTTTTCGTTCCATTTTTTTCTTTGTACTCTCCTTTCTCTTGGCGTCATTTGAGCAACAGATTTTTTTTATTTTGTTCTTTTCTTCTCAAATATCTCTGTCTTTCTTTTTCCTTCTGAATTGCGTATTTTTCGGCATCGTTTTTAATTTCCTCATACTTTTTTCTTTTATGCAGTCTTGCTTGAGCAGCTTTTTCTTCGCGAGTTTTTTTTGTTTTCGTTTTAGCCATACTAGTGCCTGACAAAAATAATATTTGTTAGAAATCACAATAATTATTAAATCTATTAGAAGATAATAGGTGCTCACAAACGCAGCCGAAAGATTAATTTTATAACTTGTTCATTAGACTTTTTTTAAAACTGACCGACAGCATCTAAATACCTTCTTTAAATATTGAATGCATGTCAACAATGTCAAACTTTTCATTAAGTCTTTCAGTTTTAGATAGTATTTTTGATATTTTTTTTGTAAAAACGCTGTTAAATACCAAAGACAAAAGGAAACGTTGTGAAAAGACATTTAATATATAAACGAAATTCTTTCTTGAAATGGTATGTGGTATCTAAAAAATGGTCTAAATAAGTAGTTATTAAAATAACAGGTGGCTTGAAGGCTCTGAAATGTCATTAGTTACTTCAATCATCTTTGTAAATAGGTATTTCAAAAGTGCAATCAATTCTGTATGTCATATTTATAGGACTACAGATAATATCAAATATAAATAAACGTAAAATTAATTACCCTCATTTTTAGTTCATTACCGTCACCTTCATAGCTGAAGGAAATTGATGGTAATGAAAGTGAGGGTAATGAATTTTTAAAACTGTTTTTGATCTTGCTCGGTAATTAATAGATTTAAGTACTTAATAATAATAAGAAATATGAATATACAAATAACAAATGCTTCCAGACCAAAACCATAAAAAAACTATAACTATTTACATGAACAATCCGCTGTAGGTAATGAAATCAAAACTGGTTGAAGCACGTACTTGCCGATCTTTTTTAGCAGTAGCGTCAAAATTTACACACATCCTGTCCCGTTCGTTATTGCTGGCCGACTGGCTGGCAAGTGATCGGCGGGAGGGAGATGCGCCATCCAGGTACGATGCATATACAATATGATTTTTGATATTTCAAACTAGGCTGAAGGTAATGGAATATTTTTTCGGACAAATTGTTTTTATCACAGTGTGTTTAAATATTAACATTATTACAACGTGTGCTTCATTGTTTAAATTCCTTATTCTATACTTGACGTACTTCAAGTAATAAGAAGCAACAAAAACCTCGATGTATAATTATTAAAAAATGTTTTTCCTAACTCGTCACAAAAAGGACGCTGAAGGTAATGAAATTTAAGCAACTAAAATATTATTTTCAGTTAGTAATTCGACACGATCAACTTTAATTCTATGTGGCAGAAATAGATAAACAACATATTCATAGATTAAAAATATTTTTAGGCTTTTAGAGTGATAAGATTTGCCAAAAAATTCACGGACATGCGATTTGCACGAAATCATAGAAATACCCAATCGGTATTCATATAATAATTAAACCTAATTGTAATTTACTGAAGTATGTTGTAATATGTATGCTGTTGGCGGTCAATATCAAATAAATAACCAATCATTAAAGGCCTGTTGATTTGGATATGCGCATATAATGCTAGATGAAAGAATGATACAACTGATAATAAAGCAGTAATAAAAGTTGGGGATGTGATGTATACACTAAAGACCATGTCTTTGGCGTAAACAAATAAATAGATAGACAATTAGTAAGCCTTATTATTAAAAATAATAAGGCGTGGAGTTCAAAGGGGGAGGCCTATGTTCAGCAGTGGACGTCTTCCGGCTGTTGATGATGATGATGATTATTAAAAATGAAATCACAGGCCGCACTGACAATGATTTATTAGATATATATATATGATAAATTTACATTCACAATGCTATAATGAAAAGTACTCTTAATAAAAAAAAATATTAAAAAATCACTAGGATTTTTGAGCTTTTTGTATTAAGAATGAAATATTAATTTTGAGATGCTTTTTCCTGTTCATTTTAAAAAGTTTCGACATTCATATTGTAATCTTAAGGTTCTACAATATGCAAACTTTGTAGAACCTTAAGAACACAATACGCAAAGAGAAGCATAGAGAACGTTATCGGTGACACGACTAGAACTGAATTAACGACATTTTATTCTAATGTAGTGCTAGATGTATACTAGGCTACGTCACGTTTCCTTCCGTACGCGGAAGTTCCCACAAATGGTTTACAAATACTTAAAAGTTTGTTGATTAAACATTTAGTATTAGTTTGGGTCGTGGACTCGATATAAGTTCCGTGACGAGTTTGTTTCATTTCAGTAGCATAAATCCTGTTCAAGAAAGTGTTAGGGACGTCTCATGTTCATATACATAAGTTCACTATTTATGAACTTTATAATTCAAAAGAAGTAAAAAGAAAAAGTGATAAAGTGGCTCTAAAAAGTATTTTCTCGAGAAGCTCTTTTAATAATAAATGAAGAATTAATTTTTAAAATAATTATTTTATAATGAGAATATCGTTAAGACATGTATTCATAACGAGAGGCTGTTTGTGAGCCAACGCCTCACCTTTCGAAACTAATTAAAACTACTTTCGTGAAATACGCCTATTGTACAATCAACAGCACATGAGGTTATCCAAAACTGTTAAATTTCTCCAATTGATTAAAATAACTATAAAAATTTTAAATCTTGAATAAAAAAATTAAATAATTCAAAAATTTTACATATTGTGGTAAGTGGACGTGCGCTGTGTACACATAGCAATACGTCAGATTGGTCAGTTTTTGATAAATCTGATGTGCTGTTAACTGTATGTAAGTAGCGCCTTCCTGTGTAGAACTAAAGTTAAGTTCTGTGCTAGAGCTTATTTGATACATTACTCTTTTTAACTTTTGTTTACACTTAGCTTCCTACCGCTTTATGTGTTACGCATCCTAGGTTCCTCTTACATGTTGAGTTTGAAGATGGCTGTTATCAATTCCGTATCGTGCTATCAAGCGAACACTACTATTTTAGAATAATTCATTCAAAAAAACAGTGACAGTAATTTTATAAATGAACTTAAATTACCCAAAATTTTTTTGAAAATGCAATCGGAAAAGTTGCTAATATCACTTTTGTTTTTAAATTTAGGAGGTAAGTTGTAATTTTAATTTTTAATCGGCATCTGAACTATGTTACGCAAATAAAAAAAATAATAGTGAAAGAGCGAATTAATGACCGACTAACGGTAATTATTCGGATACCCGACGAATACAAAAAATGAACAAATTCATTCGCTTAGTTTCAACGGAGGTATGTAAAGTCTGAGAGTGAGTCTGTGAGTGTAAGTAAAGTTTTAAGAATTTATTACAACACAATAAAATGCAATAGATCGTACCTAAACGTATTATTGGAATAGCATATTTCGAGAGTGTAGACCTAGGCTTACTACCTATATGTTGACATACGCAGGCAAGTTGAACGGGCGCCTGCAATGGGATCGAACGAAATGTGCGCCTGACACAGATCAAAGCGTGCCCGAGGGGTTCGTTGACAACATCGGGAGGTTTTCCTGGTTGGGAGTTATCCAGCATACATTTAGTAAGTCAGTTCTCTACTTCGTATATATATTATGGAATATATAAAAGTAATAATATACTTGAGAAAATGTAAATTTCGATAAGACCGCTGTTCCAGAAGTAAAAAAGAAGACATATATGTCTGTAATGAATAAACCTATACCATACCTATGAACCTTTGTTTCAGCGCTCGGTGGTGATATGAGGTACGCTGTAACAACAGGAGTCCTCGTTCATCCATTTTTCGTACTCGCGCCAGTTGAAGATATCGCTAAAATTCCACCGGAGTCACTCAGGTAAGGAAGAGGTTTTGCCGAGTTTCTTAAAATTTAATAGTAAGTATCTCGGGATTGCAATTTTTGGGGTGCAGAGCTAATGTGCTTCTATTTTACAAAATTTTACAGAAATAATACTAAATTTGTGATATGGCAAAGTCAGCAAATAAAGTATGTGCTAGATGTGAAGGATTACTCCTTACATCCAGAGTTCTCAAGCGGCACCACCTGGGCGTCTGTTGCACTCCTGGAGTTGTATCCATCACCATATATCGGATTCGCCGACGTCAAAGGTAAAATTACATTAGGTTCTTCTTTCCTCATCCTCTGCACATATTTATCATGATTTGTAATAGGTATTTAATTCTTTTTTTCTTTTTGCTTTGCAAGAGAAAGCATCTACTTTGACAGAGATCTTTAAAATCATGTCAACACTTAGAAATGATTTATTGCTTTTTATTATTTCTTAATGAAGCTGCTGCCAAGCAAATATTTAAAGTTGTCAATTTTCTATTTAATCTTATTGAAATTAAGTTGCTTGTTTGTCAGACCACGATTATTTATTCCAAGTTAATATCTAAGAATTCCTGAAAGTTTTAGACGTTCAAAAGTTTCGTTTAAAAAACAATATTAGATGACATCACATATATTGTTCACATTCCAAAATTGATAAATCAAGCCATCGTATTATGAAGTATATGAGACAAAAAGTACCACAACAGCCAGACCCGGGACCTCAGAGATGGCCACTCTACTATGGAACTTATAAAAACGGGGACACCAAAGAAAGTCAGTTTCTAAGCTGTTAACTAAAACCAGGCATAATTAATACTAGATATCTTTTTATCTATAAACTGGTTTGCAGACCCAATACTTCCTGTGTGTCTAAACTTGGAAGGAGTTATGCCATTAACTGACTTATATGCAATTCAAATTACAGATGGTGAGTTACTTTTTTTGGATTTTATGTAAAAATATACTATACATATAGAGAATCCTCGTCAATATTAACTCGATATCGCATCATTTATCGGCATTCGATGTAGGTTTCATTACGATATTTTACATACAAAACTAACAAGACAAACCATTCGCTTTTAATAAAGAAAAATTGATCGACAACGAAAACACAAAACTACTTTATCGGGTAATATTAAACTACTTCGGGTAATATCTAATCTAATCTAATTCGGTTTATATTAAAATAATACCGAGTGTCGTTTAATTTTTGTGCCTGCTATTTTCTACCAAGTCCAGTGTTGAACTCTTCGTTGAGCACAGCGCTGTCACAGCATAGAGGTTCAATGAAATAAAATCTTCGTTACCTTTTGAAGTACATTTTCTTTTACCACCTATGCTGTTCGACGTATAGTTCAACGCTGCAAAATAGCACTGCTATAATCTTGTATAATTTGTATCAAATGATAATTATTTAATATTGTGGTAATAACAGCTGAATAACAAAAAAAAATGAAAACTATACTAGCTTGTGCAGACTATTAACGAAAGCATCAGTAAAATAAAAAAAAATAAAAAAAATTGATATGATTTTTGCAGTTCTTAAAACGTCGTTTATTTTTTACAGACAGAAGGGAACTAAGTAAGGTGGTATACAAAATGACCTACGTTACAGAATCTGATTGTGTTGACTTTTATAACAGAGCAGGGGTAAGGTACAATTTCATTAAAATGTTGACATTTTAAGCGCTTGCTAATTTTGATTTTGTCAGTAAAACTGTCAAGGGCTGTAATATTTTACAGTTAAGTTCATCAAAAATGCGTCCATCTCGATACGTGTGCGCGGTGTCTGAGCTGCAGCATGAGTCGTGCGTGTGGGACGCCGGCACCGTCCTCGTCACCAGGCAGGCCTGGGGGTACTGGAAATTGGTGAGTAGGGTGACCGTTTCAGAAATGTTAAATCTATCCGATACTACCTAGAAATCTGCCAAACCCGTCTTCAAAAAGTGCCAAAAATATTCCATCTTATTTTTGCTTACTTAGAGTAAGTACAGTAAGACACAAATGTAGAAAATAAATGAGGCTGCTCCTGTCGTTTAATAGGGTTGAGTTATGAAAGTTGTTGTTTCATAGAAATCCATTGAACTTCATGTTGACAACGTTCATTAAGGTTTAATGACGCCTTTAAGGTCTAATGAATGGCAAATTTTATATAAGTAATGTCGCTTTAAACTAATGACATTTAATGGATGTTTGTGCAACTTGCTGTGAGAGTACTAATTTCTGAACACGTACGTTGTTTCTAATAAACATAAGAGACGTTTCATATTATATAAATTACAAATTATGAATAAAAATGAAGGTTGAATAAACTATGTCAAGCTTGGCTTCGGAGCGCGGGGGGCCGGCTGCGGGGCTCCGGCGCGTTTCATTTTCATGCCCAGCTACCTGCAGTGGATCGAAGAGGTCATCTCCATGGAGGACATCGATGCGGAGGACCGAGACGATGAAACATACAAGATATACTATAGAAGATTGTCACCTATAAAGTTCGTTATGATGAAAGGTACGGTAAGGTTCAGGAGAGTAAAGGGTATGAAAACGAGGCGAAATCAACAGGTCAGTGAGTGGGACAAATAGTTGTATAAGTGTAGTATTAAAACATTTTATGCTTTCGTACAAATTAATTTTATCACTGGATATTTTGATACTGGACACTGAACTGTCAGTTGGGCAAACTATCTATGAGTCAAAAGTTTTAAATTTTACTAGAAAAATTGCTTATTACATTACGCATCAAATTTTGTTTTAGGATTTGAAACACGTCTCCCGACTTTCCATGGAGATTGTGAAAGAGGTCGTAGAGGCCATGTATTATTCAAAGACGCCTCAGAACTTCTGGTCAACAAGAACTTCGTCCAAGGATTCTACTTGGTAATTGTCCTCAACAAATAGTAGGGTGTTTAAATTATGATGTAATGGAAAGTTTCTAATAAGACTCACGGCCGGTTCCTGAATTGAGAAAAACACAAAATCTCAACTGATTATTCTCAATAACTTAAGTTTCTTAAGTTTCATATGGCAAAAAGTCTTAGTTTTATCAAATCGCTATCAGCTGATCAATAAAAAATTATAAATCAGTAATCTAAACCTGTTTAAATGACGTTTAAAATGGCTTAAGCACGGTTTGAGACGTGCTCAACTTCAGATTCTCAATTTAGAAACCGGGTGATAGTCTAATAAGGTCACTTTTGCAGACACATTGTTAATATTGATTTGGCAATGGCCTGATTTTTGTAAAGTTCGTAATCTCTATTAGTTGTGGTGTTTTCGCTCGTTTATCAGCCAGAAGACGTCATGAACGGTTGGAAGGTTAAAAGTTTATTTGAACAAAGATTATTTTGATTTTTACATCTTGAGTACCTCAAATTTAAAAGTTTTTTCTATAAGATAAAAATATCAACAATAGCATTGTGTCTAATATTTAAGGTGTAATAATCATAATATCAGCTTCATAAATATAATATTTGAGGTATCTATAGTGTTTGCCCACTTTGTATAGGTGTCTGTGGCTATGGTAGCCCAGATGCGGTGCGCCGTGGTGACGGTGGCATCGCTACAGCGCACCAACGCGGCCGTGTGGGTGGAACACCACTGCCACAGAGAAATCTCCGGCCTCGAGCCCAACCAGAGGAGAGGACCCGACTACAGAAAGTAAATTGATTTTATTTTAGCCTTCGTTAGGGAGAGGCATAAGAAATAAATTAATATGTAAAGCGGCAGATTTATCTACAGATTCGAATCGGCTTAAAAGATGAACTAACCGATATACTCGTATATGTTATATTTAAAAATAAAGTAATTTGCTACATATTCATAAACTGTTGAATAGACTAAGCTCTGCAGCATCTGCCGTCATGAAGATTACATAGGTTCACTGATTAGATACTGCCAGATTAGTATACTTTAGTTACTTTCATAGTGTTATGTCGTATGAGATCTTGTTGTGGGGAAATGCTGCCGATATATAAACGATATTTGTGTTTCCGAAGCGAGCCATTAGATCAATTTAAAATCTCAGGAGAAATTTAAATAAATAGACATAGTGAATGTTGTTTTTCAATACATATACAAGAATTAAATTTACGTTAGTAAAAATATTAGTTTGTTTTCTATAAAAGTGATGTACACAATTTTAAATCTAGAAATAAATTAGCGGTGCCTGTCACAAAAAGTTAATAATTCAGTCTACAATAAGGTCCCAAGCAAAATACAACAATTAGATAATCATGCGGTTTTAATCTACTGTTAAAAAAGGTTATTATAAGGTATCCGATTATCCAGTTAAGAATGCTTGGACTTAAGGTGGTCCAGCAACTGGATAGGTGATTTCTTCTCAACTCATTATATCTCAAAATTATCTTGTTGCCATTATAAAATTATTATGTTATCATTATAAGATAATAGTTTTTTCTCTCTATTTATAATGTATTGATATGGTTTTGTGAATGTCTTACTCCCATTAGAGCTGGTGGGTTTCTTGCTCGTTCTACTTATCAGCCAAAAGACGTCCTGAACAAGGGTTAGGAAAATTTTTTGGACTATTCAAAAGTACTTTTGAGTAGTCTATCTGAACAAAGATTATTTTAACTTTCATTTATTTCATAAAAGTGAGAGTGAATTTTATATTTAGGTAATTGATTTTTTTTTGTAGATTGGAATGCTTTATGTATTTCAAGTCGAATATGTTCCTCGAGATACGGTTCTTCTTCTCATTTAGAGCGCTCATAGAAATAACAATGTTTGGTGAGCCAGAACTCCACACTGTCGCCGATCCGTTCCACTCTACCTACCAAACGGACCAGTGGAATCCTACTACTCAACTTTTCAAATGGGGCAATTTTTTGCCTCAGGGCATAGGCGAGTCTTGGCTTTAAATTTTAACAACGCAAGCACTTATAACCTAATGTATTCTGTGCTGTTACTAAGGCCACAATTGTTTCTGTATAATAAAAATACGATTTAAAATTTTGAAAAAAATCTGTATGAATATAAATCAATTGTAATTTTTTTTTATAAGAAATGCTTTTTTGTGACTAAATTCGACTTAATATATTTGAAGTTGACATTGTTTATTATGAATTAACGTTATGTTCTATTCTATTTCGTTATTCTATTCTATTATGTTCTATTCTATTCTATTTCGGAAAAAATGAATGTTGCGTACGCACTCGGCTTGTCCTAATTGATTTGAGAGTTTACTAATATTTATGTGTTCTCAGAGTCAGAGTAAAGGCTATTATAAAGTCGATGATTATTTTAAGGACCTATGGAATGGCATGGAATGGCAATGGCATGGAATCAATAGCCTTCGCTCTGTTCTATAACGATTAATTATAGGTATGTACCAACTTATGTCCTACAGACTTTGAAACTTGTATTTATTATTGTTCAATATATGTATTATTTTGGTAATGACATGATTTATGTAAATGTCATTCATTACTTATGATAAAAAGCTGGTTAGTTTCTTTCGCTTGTTCTTCTTGTCATCTAAAAGACGTCCTGAACAAGTGGTAGGGGAAAAAATATTTTTGAACGAATCAAAAGTGCTTGTAACAAGCTTACTTGAATAAAAACATTTTCATTTTAGTCGATTTCAGGTTATGAACCTTTTAAAACATGAAAGTTCAAATTTGGAATCCACCTAGGTATATAAGTGTATATGGATGTGTGTATGGGATTTCATTTTAGCATCGCCAAAGTTAAGTTTGTTTGTGAGTATTTTGAACTACTTTCAAATAATAGTATCTATAAAATTTTTATGTATATATCATGTAAAAATAATAAAGAATAATGTAATAATATCATCAAAAACATTAATGTGAAAATTGATTGCCAACATCCATGTGTCTAAGCTCAAATCAAGAATGATAAACGATATTATAAATAAATAAATTTTAGGATTGTCTACTCAACTTGATACTCATTTACCTCTACGTGTCAATATTTTTGTCGATAGAGTCGGAAATCTTACCATTTTGAACTTAAACGCATTGCACTTGGCTACCAAATTTCACATTTTTGTTTTTGATGGGATTTCATTTCACATCAATAGTCACTTAAATTATAAAATAAATATACGTTTATCTTATTTAACTTAATTTTTACTAAAAAGTATGCAATTATGCCATAAAAGGATTAATGTATTTAGAAAGTAAATAGCAATAATAACTCTAAATAACTTTAATAAACTAACCCAGGAAGTGAATAGTTAATTTTCGTTGATATATCTAAAAACCATATATCTTGAAATTGTAAAAATATCTTTTATAAGACTTTAGTTAACTGAATTTAATGTGAGCGTAACTACCGCCTTTCGTTACAAAAATTAACTCCACTTTAGTTAGCTCCGAATGAAATACTAAACGACAACTGTTTGGCAACGTTTCTTAATGATAACAGATTCACATAGGAGATTATCTAGATAGAGTGTTGTTATTTCGTTTCATCTAACCACTCACACTAGGGCTGGTCAGTTTATTTCGTTTAACTTCAACATCGATCGTTTATATTTATTACTTTGTGTGAGTCTGTTATGTTGATGCCTGTCATTCCAAATATCGCCGAGTTACTTTTGTATTCTGTAAATATTTGAAAAGGATTAATGTTATAAATATTATATTTTATAGATAAACCGTTGACCAAATTCATATAATCTTTTATTTGTATTATTAATAATAATAATATTTCCCATTCAATCATCAAAAACTTGTTTTAATTAATATGATTTACGCAGTTAAAGACATTATTAATTATAATTATTGCGGATTCAATAAACGAAATCTGAAATAAAGTTTTTTATTTCAGAATAAAATTATAAATCTTTTCTATCGAATCTTGTTCATCTATTATCTGTTACAACACTATTACACCATTGCGTCCACATAATTTCATCGTTGCATCTTTACACGGATATTCCCACAAACTGTTGAAAAATATTGAATAAGAAACAATTAACGTACTCCGATCACACACTAGATATAAGTTTAGTGGCACATTCGATCAATTTTAGTTATACTTAAGATTACCAACTGTATCTAAGTGGTGTAAACTTGAATATTTTTTTTAAAAGTTGGCATTGCTTCGCGAAAATATAATTGTTCAGTGATATATATTGAAATACAAAATAATCTGTGTGTTATTTCAAATCGACTACATTATAAGTGCGTACTTAAAATGTCAGCGAAGAAATTATTGTTAGCAGTTATATTGTTGAGTTCAAGAGGTAAAAGAAATGTTTTAAATATGATATTTTTTTTACCGTATTGAAATTGTTATTCGATTACAAGTGGTAGGGCAGATGACCCGGTTTTGGCAATTTATTCATTTATTTATTTTATTAGAGGAATTCTACAGCATAATTTTAACACTAAGATACAATTTGATTAATTCTTTAATGTAATGTTAATACAGTTTTCCTGGGATAAAGTTACATATTAAAGAAATATATCATTATTAAAACTATGTTACAACTAAAAATATACATTATATACTCTGTGTTCCCTATTGTTCATTTTGATTTTATAAAAACCTCACAACAGATTGCTTGAAAGAACGTTAAGTTCCCATGAATGGATCAACAGTATCAAATAATATATTATAATTGCGGGATAAACGCGTGAGTAGCACATTTTTTTGATATACCACAGATGTTAATAATATTCATTTTGCTATAATGCAACGTTTTGAAAACCGTTCTCGGTAAAATCATATCATGTGTTATGCTTAAGTCGGAATACCTTACCAAGCGCCAAATGACCAAAAGGGGGGCAATGGCAAAACCGGATCTTTTACCCTATTTGGGAGCGTAACCTAAATAATGCCAATATGGCGTTAAGACCGCCGTTTGTCTCTAATTTTAAGCAAAAAAATATAAATAAATATATTCCAGTGAAAACCAATGTCGTATGCAGTAAGTAACATTAAAACTATTAAATCACTACCATATTCCTAGAGCGTAGACTGGCGATGGAGTACAAATCTTCAGTGTCTGTTTGTGTAGGTGAACTGAGTGGACTCCTGTTGTGGAACCGCGCCCGGTGTGCTTCTGACACGGATCAGAGTACGCCCGAGGGACCTGTACACGATGTCGGAAGGTTCCCCTGGCTTGGCGTCGTTCAACACAACTTCAGTAAGTAATGAACTACTGATATAACTACTAGCTGTTTGCCCGCGACTTTGCCCGAGTGCATTATAGTCTATCTCATCCGCGTATGATGTAGGTTTCAGTAGCTAGGTACATCATACGCGGGTGACATAACAGTCACATCTTTTTATAATATTAGTATAAGCTTCACGACGCCGCTAATACACTACAGCGCTTTTTATCAAAAAAATGTAGCATAATTATGTTACTTGCTGATAAATAGCCTTGCGTTGCTTATTTTAATTGTGGTAAATTAAAACAGTGACGAATGACCGTGTCATAGTCGATCAATGAAACGTTTGTTTCAGTAATAGGTGGAGAAGTTCGGTATGCTGTGACCACAGGTGTCCTAATTCATCCCATTTTTGTCCTTGCATCGGCTGCAGATATCGCAAAGATTCCTCAGAAATCCTTGAGGTAATGTTGATAAATGGGATTTTTAATTTGTTACTTAGTATACGGTAATATGTATGTTCAATTTGAAACATATTTAACTATTCTTAAAGAAAAATTCTTAAAAAATCAACTTTGTCCTTGGAATTGTGAGATGGAACTCGAACTCATGATCTTTCTCAATCCGGGCGACTACTCTTACCACTGAGCTACCCAGGACCTAACAGGACCGAGGAATTTTTCAGAGCGTATTTTTATCAATATTCAGGCAATCTACCCAAACAGCCGAAAGAAATATTTTTATAAATATTTAAACTTTCGACAAACATAAAAATTTGTTCTTATTATTTTAATTATTATTTGGGTAGGTAGCATATTTTCATCAATATTTAGGCAATCTGCCCAAGAAAATACAAATGCTTAAAAAAATTGTCAGTCCTGGGTAGCTCAGTGGTTAGAAAAGTCGCCCGGAACGCGAAGGTTCATGGTTTCGAGTCCTTACTCAGAGTGCCAGAGACAAAATGGACTTTTTAAGATTTTTTCACAAAGAACATTTTTCAGTATAGCACTGTGAATGCAAAAAAGATCAAATATAATAAATAAAGAGCTGTTTAAGAAAAAAACTTGTTGCAGAAATAATACCAAATTCGTATTATGGCAAAGTGAGACGATGAAGTTTGCCATGGATGTGAAGGATTACTCCTTACATCCGGAGTTCTCAAGCGACACCACGTTGGCGTCTGTGGCCCTCCTGGAGGTGTATCCGACAGGATATGTTGGATTTGCCGACGTTAAAGGTAAGATTTCCTTGAGCTTCTTAATACTTTTATAATTGACTTTCCAGTAAAATTATTTTTTGTTTGCTTTCCCAATCTTAATTTATTAGTTCATGAAGACAAATTACTCGGAAATCGTTGTACTTTTATTTTATGTAGTAATTTTTTTTAATAAGAAACAATTTGAAATTATTTCCAGACCCGATACTGCCCATTTGTATGAATTTGGAAGGAGTCGTTCCATTTACAGATTTGTATGCTGTTCAAACAATAGACGGTGAGTCTCTCTAGTTATAAATGGTGCTAATCGTATATAGCTTTAACCCAAAAAGGTACAGATAATATTGTCCATATACCAAACAGATATGAATTATAAAGGATTTTTCTTTTTGAGGTACGGAATCTTTAAAAGACTCACAAGTTGTATCAATAAACTACATTTACGCCGGTTGTTTGATTGATTAAATATTCTTTATTGCACTATGAAATACAGTGGAAAGGTACATTAAACTAGATAAAGTAAAACAAAAGGCAGCCTTATTGCTAAGGTAGCAATCTC